AGAAGTTTGTGAATGCGAAATCCAAAGCGAAGGAGATCTCTGAAGAGTTTCCAGAAATCACCAGTGAAGAGGTGAGTGGGAAGATGACTTTGAAAGAATTCCTTCAGTATACTGTTGTCACTGTTGGCTCTAATGTGAGCCGCCCGAATTCTAGCCGATGCAGAGGAACCCAAAAATGAAAGTGTGAGTGGTCAGTAAACTGAAAATGAGGAAAAAAGCGAAAGAAGTGGTTGTCAGCGTCAGACAAGATCTCTTTGAATGGATGTGCTTCCCATCCAGTTGATTATGTATCACAAAATATCAGGTTCTCCCATGAATTTGTGACATGTTCGAGCCTTTTTTGAGTCAGGTTTTTCCCCTTGAGAAAGAGTTTCGAACAACAATATACAGGAGGGGGCGCCAAAAAAAGACTTTTTCCTTCCTTGACTTTCGAGGCGCTATAAGTTACACTTTATTAAATTCTTATCGGACATTTCTACCACCATATTAAAGAGCATATTAAATGCCCCGCCGCAGCTATTAAATGCTCCGCCACAGCCTTCTGGAGGAGCGCCATCGAGAGATTCTGCCACGCGACCGTGAGTGGGTGCCTGAGTTCAGCGAGATCGTTGATTTCTCCGCCACTGTAGACCACCCTATTGAACTCCGCCCGAACCAGGTAATTGAGGGGTTTAGTTCAGGTGACCTGCTTAGATATTCCATCTTCTTCAGGTACTCAACGCCCTTCCATTCCAAGTAGGCAAGAGTTTTTCCAACGCCCTTCGATTCCATGTGGTGTCACCCAATCCTGTAGCAGTACAAAGTTTCCAAGAAGGGGAGAGGATATTCTTCACGAGTTTCCCAATGTAACCGCCAGCGTCACTCTTCAGGTCCTGGGCATACGAAGAAAAAGATCGGTCTATTCGATTCCAGGTACGTCCCCGGTCCCCACCTAACTGGCGGCTTGGGCGTGAGGATGAAGATGACTCATAGACCGTGGGACGTGTGATCGGAGTGCTAGATGTTGGAGGTGCTTCCCAGATGGAGAGCGAGCTGCTCTCCAGGTGTATCCATGGTGACTATACTAGAAGTTTCGCGCAGCTGTTTGGAGTGACATGAATTCCAAAGGTCTTCTCCAGTCAGGCTGCGACTGGAGATGACTTCATATTTTGGTGTACATGAAGGTGATGGGCGAGAGCCAGCTCCTGCTTATCGAGGAACATCTTGGGTATCTTCCGCCCTGGTACTCGTATCCACGTCCTCTGTCTGGGCTGCGAAAACTTTGCTGATATGTGACTCGGTCGAAATGTCTTTTTTTTGGCCCCCTGTATATATTGCCTTCGCCGGCAACTTTTTGCCAACTACCAAGCAAAGAGTGGTTGACTTGCTTCCAGAAGTTTTTTGGTTCGCGCCGAGAAAGACAGCTGGTTCATATTTGAGGTGCTTTTGAAAATCGCATTCCAGAAGGTGGCCGCTAAGGGATTAATTTAGATGGCTGTTCGAAAGGGCTCGAGTCATGAGTACACGAGTGCTGTGGTGCCAGCTAAGCTTCGATGTCTCGAGCAGTGTCATTTTCGAAATTTGCGACTCTGAGCTGTGGTGGAGTAGGCCAAGCATTGCTGGGTTGTGGACCAAATGATGGGGATTTTCATCCTCCCTTTGCAGTTGATTACAGAAGGACTCGTTGGTCACCGTTGAGAAGAAGAAATTCGTTGCCGTTGACACACCACCACCATCCACTACCCTGTATCAACGCCCTACTGGACTGATAGGATTGCAAGGCCGGTTCCGCCCTTTGTGGAGGATCTAGCCGGTAGCGCTCCCGGAAGGGGCGCACCTAGAGACACCCCTTCATATCCAGTAATAACTTTGTTCAACTACCCCTTATGGCGGGATCGGGAGAGAAGTTGCATACAGTACCCACATGACCTTCCCCTTGAGTACCGGTCAATTCATGAAAGAATATTTAACCGAACTTTACTTTCGTGAGGGAGTAGTCATTAGTGCTTTTAGAGCAGTCAAGTGTGACTAGATAGAGAGTTGATTCGTACCAACTGGAAATAACTCAATTTCAACGCAGATGATCTCCGGACGAGGTTTGTCTCCCAAGTAGAAGTCACTTGAGCGAAAGCGATCGGCCATTCCAACGTCGTGCTATGGAAGGTAGCATCAGGACCTAACTCAGAGCAAATGCCGCGTGTGGCTCCACCAACCTAACACACATCCCATAGATCACAAATTTGGATCTCGAAATAGCTGCGGAAAGATAGCGAGAGAAAATGCTCAGTTTTCTGGGACAACCTCATAAATATGTCCGCCGCATTTTTTCATTCCCGCCTCGCAGCTGCGTTTTCTCATCCTCCAGCACTGAGCGCCGCCCAGCAGCTCTTGAAAAACGAACAGAAATAACATAGAATTAGTGTTTGAATTGTGAAGTTGACCCCTCCGAACTGCCTGACTCCTCCACCATCGTCCGCCAGCTCCAAGAGGCCTTCGATATTCACACGTGCGGAGTCTCAGAGGCTGATGTTCACATACTGGAAGGCACTAACTGCCCACTCCCTGCAAACAGCACGATCAGCAGTGGCCCAGGTTTGTATGGCTCGCCCGGCAAAGAATTTTGTCGTAAGGGCACTTGCGCGCACGTTGCTTCGACGGATTCCAAGGGTACAAGGATCGAGACTGTGTGAAACGTACGAGAATAACCAGGGTCCACAATCCTTACTACTCCAAACGAAATAAGTTTTCAAGGCACTCTTTATAAACTTGGTGCTTCTTTGTCCCTATTCTGCATATCCCAACTAAGAGAATTCACAAGTTCTCCGAGAAATAAAGCACGCAGCTCAGTGGTGGACGATACGACAACACCGTGAACCACTTTGTAGTGAATCAGTCAGAATACTTCCAGATAGCTGCCGCCAGAGCTCGAATCAAAGAAAGAGAAGAGGAGCGGTCATCGGCAAGCAACAGCAGAGTACCGGAGTCACGTGAGTGCCTAGCTTTCCTTCGAAAATCAACCAAAGAAAGAGAAAATCGAAAAATTCAAACTGTTGTTTCAGGAGCCCGTACCAGAACTGGAGGTGGAGGAGGCTTTGGTAGTGGTGGTGGACTTGGTGGTATTGGAGTTCATACAGGTCTGGGTGTGGGTGCTCCCGGAATCGGAGGTCTAGGCGGTAAGTAATTGTTTATTTATTTCTTTTGTGTTCTTGTAAACAAAGACCCTTGACTAAGTCATCTGACCTTTCAGGTGGCGGTGGAATCTTTGGTATTTCTTCCTGGTATAGGAGTCGGAGTTCCCGGAGTCGGACCTATTGGTGTTTCAAGCGGATTGGGAATAGGACGATAAAATCTCATTTGGTGACTTGACGCAGTAGTGTAAATAACGAAGAATTGCTCTTAGTCCTAGTAAAAATGTACATATACGAAGCGGTTGTTGAGATTCTTGGTTTAATCGATCCATTTTCTCAGTCTTGTGCAAAATGTCCTGTTACTTTCCCTGCTCACTGCATTTTTTCTGTTGGAATACTTTTCGAGATAAGGTGCTGGCTGACTGCAACTTCTCAGGAATAAGGTAGCGTACCATATTTAAGGTGTTGTAGCAAGTATAAATATGGCATAACGACTATAATTTTGTTTCCAATGTTCCAATAAGGCGGCCAGCGAACATGAAATGGACCTTCATTGAAATAAAGAATAAGATATGGAAGAATTTCAATTAAACATCATACTTAACATTGTCAAAGCAGAGTTGCATTGCTCATTGTCACTGGGATTTCAACATAGATCCTTAGTCTAGCAACTTTCGTACTCTAGCCGGATCAGAAGGGAAGCGCGACATGGAGCAGCTGCTGCCAGTCTCTGGGCGAAGAAAAAATGTAAAAAAAACCAGTAAAAGCTACCAGTAGCAACAGACGGAAATGTCATGGTATACATATTGCTTATGCTGACCATCGGACCACTTTGAGCAATAGGTATTACAAGCTCGAACATGTGTCATAATATTTCCAACCTAATGTTAAGTAGCAAGACTCAATTTTAATATAAGTAGGCGTTG